AAAGATTTTGTTTGTTTTTCAGCACAAAGCTACACAGTGGGCTATCTGATATTGAAACCCCAACCATGTACTCAGTGATTCATTGGTAAGTCTGAAGACTTATAATGCTAAAAACTTCAAACACAATTACATATTTCAAAAATGAATTGATTTTGTTAAGTTAAAAGATTAATTCTTTTACTTTGATTCATTTGTTTTAATATTTCTTTCATTATTTTAAATTTAATATTATGTTTTATACATATATTTAGTTCACTAGAAATTCCACTGAAGTGATAAAAGATATACATTGCTCTTCACATTATTTTCTATACTACAGGTAAAACTAAATTAAAGATTAACTGTTCAACCGACAGTTTTTGTTCAAACATGATAATCACTTTTTCTTTGTTTAAAAAAAAAAAGAAGGGTAGTTAGATATATTTATTTTGACCAAAATATGTAATGATAATCTAGTTAACTTAAATAGTTAACTTCTTGAAAATGCTATAGACTATAATAATGGTTTTTGCCTCCAGAAATGAAATGTGTTGTCAGCTTCTAACTGCAAAATAGATATCTTAAAAACTTGTAGAAATATTTTTTTTTTATATCTGTGATGAGAAATGGACCTTGGTTTATTAATTGCAAGAATGCTCATCAGTGTATCAGTGGTCCAAAATTGTAATTGTGATACTGTAATAAGTTCTCACAATTTTATGTTGCAATTTAGTTACTGCTTCACATAATATTAAGATAGTTGTTTGTTAGGTTGTTAGTACACTTCTATCTATTTTTTAAATAAAATTTTGATATTAAAATCTGGCCTCTCATAATCTTAACCTTCAGATTGTTGATCCAATTTTCCCCAAAAAGTAAACAAAGAAAATAACATTTTAAAATAATCAAAGTTTTACCTAAGATATCTTGAGATTACATTTTTCTTTAATAGATAAAGATTTTACTTATTAACCTTATGGTGAAGGAATTTTTACTAAAAATTAATAGGTTAGGTAATATTTTTAGATGGTAGAATTTATGTAGTTTCTCAACTGGTTCAGTTTTTTCTGCTCTGTACCTGTTTAATACTTTTTTCCTCACTCTTTAAGGTAGAGAATGTCGTGTGAAATGTATCTGACAGATCAGTTGTGTGTCAATCAGGGAATGCTCCTTGTATATGACTTCTGCTTATATGTTTACAGTGGAATCCTGAAAGCAGTTTTTATCTTTTATATTGTCATGTATATGTATGATATACAAAGGCTGTGTTTGTGACTGCCTAGCAATTTTTTTAAAATTGTTAATTAAGGTTTTCAGGCATAATAATCAGTGTATTCTTTGAAACTTTACATACATGAGGAAATATCTAATTGTATGATATTAAATAAGCCCCAGTGATAAAGTTTACAATGGAAATTGTGTATTTTTTCTCTTTTGATGAAACCCCTTATTTTGTTGACACTCTTGATAGATTATATTTGCACAATAACTCTTTGCTGTCTGATCAACTGCATTTGAAATGCACCTATATGTGTATAAATATATGAAAGTTTTTTTTCATTTGTATTAAACTTTCATTCAGAGTATAGGATATGATTAACAACCTTCAGTAAATAGAGCATTATTTGTAGAAATTAAATATCTGTAATCTATGGCATTTAGATCATAGTTCATAATGTATAGTATATAATACATTTCACAACCATAAGATAAGTTCTAGTATATAGATGTGTTCATAACCATGAGATAACCTTCAAAACTGCACCAGATAATCTTTTAATATGACCTCCAGTATATGAGTCTCGGGTATTAATGAACATCATATTTAACTGAAAATATCTTTTCATTTTCATGTATGAAGAGATATTTCCTTCACATCGTTATTATAAATAGTCCGTTTAGAAATCCATACAAATGATTTAGAAATTGCAAGTTACTGTAATTTGTTTGGTCTTCTTTCTTCTGAAGATCCTCTGTTCCTTTTATCAAAGGGTACCCAGGCTGATTCAGTTACTTTAGAACAAAGCTTTGACGGAATAAAATTATCCTTCTTAACTTTTTTTTATATTGTTAGTTTCGCTCTGACATATTAAAAGTTAGGCCTATTTTAATCTTTAGGCCTATCACTTCTACGGTACTTAACTTCACACAGCTATATTCTGTTTTGCTATTATCTGTCTATTGTTGTCTGTTTGCTGCTTCCCGCTTGTCTCACGCTATTTATATTTTTATTACATAGTCGTCTGGCCACTTTCTATATTCTCAACACCAATTAGTTATTAACAAAACCTTCTACATTTATCTGCTTTTAACTCTTATTATAACAAAACTTAAAAATAATAAAGTATTCATTCACAAATCTAAATTAATCACTAATATTTAAACCAAACAGTCTTGTCATGACACATGCTACTGGTAAAAACGTTTTTTCATTCATTTCTGTTAACATTAAGTGACAGTTTTTTTCCTGAAACTAAAGGCATTAAACTTAACCTTAGTAAAACATTTACTGAAACACACTAGCCTTGAGTAATAAATATAAAGATTGCACTACAAAAACTTATAACTGGCACTAGAATATATAAATAGCAGAAAATTGTATTTGAAATGTTTTACAGCAGGCAATAAAGTAAGGAAAAACCTAACAGATTGGCACAGGAATCATTATGACTGGCAGAAGATTGACATATTAAAAAAACTGCTTTAAGACCTAATAGTATACCATAAGGCTACCACAAAACTTTTATTTTGTAGCATAAGTTTTGTTTTCATATCATTTTCTTTGAACACTTTTTTACTTTGGAATCACTGTAAAACAAATATAAGTCTAAAGATATATTTAACAATTTAAACTTCATGTTGAAATTAAGCTTGCAAGATTTCATTAGCTACAAGAAACCATATGTATTACAAATAGAAATGATTTACTAGTTAATATTAGTTTCATTTTGTTGGAACTGTAGTTTTATCATAGTCATAGCTGCAAAATTATGAGGAGGCTAAATTTCAAACAATTTAGGTACTTGCATTTCAGATCATGTAGAAAGTAATAAATCTATTAACTGTTAAAAATTACATGTATATTTTATTTGAATTCAAAATTTGTAACAAGTATTTATTTTTATTTTAAGAATTACTTAAAAAGCCTGTATATAATACTGTGTCAATATTTGCTTTTATTCCAATATGTGGCAACAACAGAAATGAAAAATCCTGACAAAATCCATTATGAAAGAATTTACTAGAATGAAAGACCATATTTTTAAGTGTTTGGATGTTTTATTGCTTTTAGCTATTTCTAAAGTGAATTGGTTAAAATTGATTCTGCTTAAGTTTTCTGTGAGAGAAATAACATTTCTGACCAAATAACTATACTATGTCCAAGTGAATAAAGGGTTTTACTTGTAAGTTAGATAATTGTATTCCCTTTGAAGCTACTAAAACAAACTAGGTTATGCTTATGAAGATAGGTGGGAGACTAAAACAAAAAGACAGGTTGAAAGATATTGTTAATTAGCTTGTTTAACAGATATAGTTCTGAAAATCTAAACTTTATTGAAATTGTGTAAATACAGCTTTATATAATGTATAGTTTCTTCACTCACCATTTTCTCTTGTTGTTCGTAATAGGTTAATTTCATCAACCGTGAACTAATAAACCAAGGATTGGCCAGCTGGATAGATTTTCAAGTTTAAATTTGACACTTGCATTTCTTTGATGCATTTGAGTAATGAATGGAAGATCCTTCAACTTTTATGATTTTTTTATAGTCAGTGTGGAACTAAGAACTAAAATGGCTTATTACTAAAGAACTCTTAGTTACTGGACCTAGGATCAGGTCATTGTTGTGAATTGTAACTGTATTAGTAGATAGATATGATTGTCTAACCATTTTTTGATTATGTTGATCTGAGTTACAAAATGTTACTGTGACTTGTACGTAGGTAATGGTTTGTGAAACTTGTGTTTTCAGTTAATGTGGCTATTCTTCACAAAAAATAAGTATATCCTACCCTTTCATTGAATATTTCAAGGTATCTAACTTACCAACTACGTTGAGTCATATTAGTAGAAATTCCTACAAACAAGTAACACTATGTATCTTTGTTTGAAAATTGTAATTACAGTGTGGAAAAATAGTTATAGCACCTTATGATAATTTATGTTGTGAAAAGCTACCGTAATGATTCCACAACTGTAAGTGAATCACACACAGAATACTAGTATGATAGTAATATAAAGAAGATAGTTCAACTTGTCAACTGAAATTCTAAAGTAATTGAATAGGCCTAAGTGGACTTTTGACAAGAAGAAGAAAACTATATAAATAGTGTTTATGATTTGCCTATAATCTCTATAGTGTAAAGACTTTGTTGTACATACGTTTAACTTGTTCTGAATTAAAATTTATTACTGTAGAAGAATCCTAAGCCCAACATCAACATAGTATATATTTATACTATTAAGAAATATAAGTAAAAGTCATTTATTTCAACAATTGGCAAAAAAGAACATATATATATTATATATATATATGTATATAATTTTAAAAATCTGACAGCGACAGGGGTCCTAGATAAATGAATTGAGCAGAAATTCTGAAAATTTGTGCAAATTTGTTTGTGTTTTTAAGATGATAGACCTTGATATTATCATCACCGGCTATCTGATTAGCTGATCAGAAGAGGTTCCTATTGTATTGAAAATGCATCCTCATTCAAGAATCCTGCTTGGAATTCATTTAATCATCCCTCACAAAAAACCTTTAATTGCCTGACTCTGCAACTAAAACTGTTGTCACTGGTGTAATAAAAGATATCAATGTCTAGATTAACCAGAAAATACAAATTTCAAAGCTAACAGTGCTTCACATTAATAGTGCAATTATATAAAGTGTGACAGAGTTTGAAAAGACTTGACGAGACATTATACTCTCACCAGTCTTAACTAGCTTAAAGATTGTCCCTATCACCATCAGGGCATTCTGGTCGTTTTCTTATGCAATGACATTTTGTGTCAAAGGGGTTTCTTTCATGGTTATAGCTTTCATTTACTGAATAAGAGAAATGCTACAGATTAAGCTGAAAAGTAGCTTTCAAGCATCTTGTTCTAAATGACAGGTCCTTTGGTTCTACGTCTAACAACAAATATCCTTTCTGGAGAAGGGCTGTGATACAGCCATAAGTCAATCTAAGGTTTTACACAGATGAATATTTGGTAATTTGCCATGCTTCATGTATATAGATGCTAAATATGGCATTTGTGGTTTCACCCCTATTGTGTGCAGTGATATGCCACCTGCGTTACCGTATACAAATAGTGTTTATACATGTATATTGTGTGAAACCTTCTATAGGTCGTTCTACGAAAATCGAAGACTCAGTTTTAAACCATCTAACCATCTTTTCATGTTAGAGACTGCTAACTTTAAACCTTTATCCCTTCATTTCCAACAATATCATCACACTCAGCTGTATAAGTTTAGTTGAAACTTTTGTCTACAGTGATACATCTATACTTCTAATGATATTTGATGGTTAGTTGAAACTATTATATACAGTGATACATCTAGTGATGATCTAGTTTTAGTTGAAAGTGCTTTATATACTGGTTCATATAGTGATTATGTAAGTTTTGTTGTGTGCCTTCATCCTTGTTTCTTTTTGTATTAATAGTGTCAAGTGATATGCCCAGCTTCTCATCACATTGAACTGTTTTAAACTTTAAACCTTTATTTGTTCCTATATGAACAGTGCCATCACATTGAACTGTTTTACACCTTTAACCTTTATTTGTTTCTATATGAACAGTGCCATCACATTGAACTGAACTTTAAACCTTTAACCTTTTTTTGTTCCTATATGAACAGTGCCATCACATTGAACTGCACTGTTCATATAGGAACAAATAAAGGTTAAAGGTGTAAAACAGTTCAATTTGATGGCACTGTTCATATAGGAACAAATAAAGATTAAAGGTTTAAAACAGTTCAATGTGATGGCACTGTTCATATAGGAACAAATAAAGATTAAAGGTTTAAAACAGTTCAATGTGATGGCACTGTTCATAACGAAACAAATAAAGGTTAAAGGTTCAACACAATGATATTATGGTTTACAAACATCAAATTTTATCGATTATCAAAATGAACAACTTGTTTGGCAAGTCACATCATTCACTGTTATTTTATGTATTATTTTGTGAACTCTTTATTAGAAACCACAATTCTTTATCAAGCTACTGCTCCTAGCTTGGGCTATCACTCAGTTTTTAGGCCAATTTTATTTTGTGTACTTTTTATGATAAACCATAATTCTTTATCAAGCTAATGTTTGGGTCGTCACTCTTGACTTTAGCTCACCTTGTGCTTTTTACATCATATTCATACTGTGAAGAATCTTTGATATATGCTTTCACTGTGGCAACTGTCTGCTTTGTGTTTAAGTCCACAGAAATGCGCCATCTGGAGAGAGGGGCTTCCTGAGCACCCAAAATCCGAAGGCCGCTTCTTACTCGAGCCCTGGTAAGAAAGTTATGTATTTGAAGTTAAACAACTGGAAGATGCTACGATAAAAGAAAACACACAAATGTTCTGAAGGTATAGTGTGCTGACAGCCATAATACTGAAAACCTATATATAGTTCTGCAAAAGGAAAATTTCATTTAACTCAATTTATCATAAGACTGACACTGCTTTGACTTATGCTTATGGTTTAATTCTTTCTTACTTAGGCATTCAAAAAATATCAATACAGAAAATATATGATCGTAAATGAGATACTAGATTCTTAAGAAATTACTAATGCTATAATTTTTTATTATTAATGTCAAAACACACAGTAAAATTAGATTTTACTACATTAATGTTGCATTTTACATTTTCAAAATCTGTCTAATCATTTTTATGAATCTAGTTCTAAATATATATAAAAAAACTGTCAACTTCTTAAGTTTATTCAAGCTAATCATATCAGTGACACAACTGTTTCAGTTACTTTTTAAGGTTAGTTGAGCTAATAAGATCTGTTTGACACCACTTCTTCAGTTAACTTTAATTAACTTCTCCTTAACTTTAATCAAATTAATGAGAGTTGTGACACTATTTCTTCAGCTAATTATCTAGTTTAATTGAACTAATAAGATCTATATGACAACTTCTTCAGCTAATTCAAGTTATTAAAGTAATAAAACCTGAGTGACACAACTTGTTTGCATATTTTTAAAGCTTATATATGGTAAGAAAATCTGTGTGGCACGTCTTCTTCAGCTACTTCTTAAGGTTATTCAAACTAATGAGTTCTGATACAATAACTTACCTCTACTCACACCATAGCTTTTCTTGACTTGTCTCTTAACCCTGTCTTATGATTCCTCCCCTCCATCCTTCATTCTGCACCATTATCAGAATATTTGGTTCACCCCTCTCCTGATATTCATGTACATGCTGAACAGTTTGTTGCCCAATTACTTTCGGGTGCCAGCATGCCTCAACCCCCACATTTGTCTGACTCCTATGCCTTGGCTTATCACAGGTTAGAATTTTAGATTCTCAGACCTTTGAAACTCAAGCTTGGGCTTCTGACTCTGAGACTACCCTAAGGTTTTCCCCAGCTCAGTTTCCCATTTTCATACACTCTCATCATTATCTTCTGTTATTTCCTTTCCATCCAAGACTAGCCATCATTCCCCTGAGGGGTTTTAGCAGATACATGTCCCTTTTCCAAGTTAGCACACTTATCTTCCTTGGCCTTATCCCTTGGGAAGTTGACATGCAGACTCCACAGTATGAGGAAGATCCCCTAAAATAGACTGTCGTGAAAAGGTGGCCAGATAAATGTCTCACAAATAGGAAGCTGGTAGACAGACATGAGAGGGCATCTCTGTCAAGGAGATCCCAACAACAAAGGAACCATGTATGTTCCTTGTTTCTTGTCTTTCCCAAACCTTTCCTACACCTATTCCTGTGTCTTGCCCCCTGTATCCTCTCAACTACTGGTGCATCTTCCCGGGTTTCTGTGGGGAGTCACTAAATTGCCTATCATTGTGTTTTCTGATGTCAGTTTTGTCGATGACTATCCTGTAGGTTATGGCAGTGTGAAGGCACAGTTACCCAGATTTGTTCACCTGTGATGCTCGTTCACCACAAACATCTGGGTTCTTTAGGTTCAAACAGAAGGACTATTCCCTTGATTTTTTGCTCCTTTATCTTCACAACCCATTTCCTTCCCCTCTCCTCAGGATCCTATTTCATGCCAACACCTCTCTGAGCCAGTTCACAATCTTTTGCACGAGGATGCTACTGAACAAGTATTTCATACTTCTCTGGGGTTTTATTCCCAATTGTTTGGGGTTCCCAAGAAAACCAGGGCTTGGCATTCTGTCATCAATCTCTCCAACCTCAACTACTTCATGGTCCTCCCCCAGTTCATCATGGAGTCTTTCCTCACCCTTCATTGATTATTCACTCCAAGTCTTTGGATGACCAAGGTCAATGTCTTGGATGTTTACCTTCACATCTCCAGATTTTACCTTTGGTTTGTTCATGGGAGTCAAGTATCTCAGCTTTGGGCTTTACCATTCAATCTGGCATTGGCACCATATGTCTTCTGTCATGTGGCCAGAGCCTTTGCCCACTATCTTCACACTCAGGGTTTGTAGTTCCATCATTATATGGATGACTGGCTCCTTTCAGCTCCCTCACAACAAGTCTCTCACAATCATACCCATTTCCTCCTATAGGAGGTAGCTCATGAGGGATGGCTTTTCAAGTTGAAGAAGTTCTATCTCATCCTCACACAGTATCTTATCCATTTGGGGGTGTTTTTCAACACCTACTTTAGCAGGGCCCAGGCTTCTCCTCTTTGTTTGAGATCTATAGAGCTCTTGGTTTCCAGAGCCAAGTCCTTTCCTTCTCTACCTATGAGCGAGGTTCTCTCTCTCTTTTGGAGACTTGAGCTTCCATGGAAGCCCTCATACCATGCGGTTGTGCACATATGTTGTCTTCAGTAGGTGCTGCATGATCAATAGAATCTAGGTTGGAATCCCTTGGACTCTACCATCATCCTCCCTCCTTCCCTACAAGTCCACTTTGGTGCCTCAAGAGAAACAACACCGTGGCTGGCATTCCTCTGCCTCCTACTCATCCCAACTTACACCTATTTACAGATGTTTTTCTTACAGGTTGGGGAGTGTATTTGGATTATCAGGAGATCTCCAGCCATTGGATGGTGATCAAATCTTCCCTCCAAATCAACTTTTTGCAGTTTTTCAGGCCTTAGATCATTTTCTACCTTTAGTATGGAGCCATTTCGTCATGATCCCTTCTGACAATTGTACCGCTGTCTCTCACATCAATCCCATTCCCTATGCTTTCAGATGTTGGATCTCCTTTTCTGGGTCAAGTCTCAGCAAGTTTATCTTCTTGCTTGTCACATCCTGGGTGCTCTGTATCTTGTAGTAGGTTAGTTATCTCATCCTGACAAAATTTTACCTATGGAATGGTCTCTTGCTTCTCAAGCATTTTGGTTTTGCTCCCTGTTTCGTACTCTTCTTCTGAGTGCATTTGCCATCAATCTCAATACCAAACTGTCCCTCTTCTGGTCTCCAGTTCAACAACATTTGGCTGTGGCAGTGGATTCCTTCAGTCAGGATTGGACCAATCTTTACCTTTATGCTTTTCCTCCTATCCATCTATTTTCAATGTCGAATCTGTCTAATTGCCAAATCCTTGCCTGCTTCATCATGGTTTCTGATCCTGAACCTCCTTCAGTCATCTCCTCCCATATCTCTTCCAGTTTCCTGATCCCTTCTACATCAACCTCAGTCCACCATATTTCATCCTGCCATCACCACACTCTGGCTACATGCATGGATTTTGTCTGGTTCCTTGCCTGCTCATTTGCATGCTACAGTGCAGCTACACTATGGGAAATTACAAGGGGTAGGTGGGAGCATCAAGGAGTACAAAAACTATACAAGTGGCAGCACAAGTAGAGAAAAGCTATTATGTGACAAGAGGTATGTATCTATTGGATATACATTTTCAGTGTATGAAAATGTTAAAGTCTGTGTAATAGAAATTCTTCAACTACATCTTAAATTTAATAATGCTAATAGGATCTGTATGACAGCTTCTTGGGCTATACCTTAAGGTTAGTTAAATTAACAAGATCTGTGTGACACAGTTTCTTTCTCTATTTTAATTATTCTGATAATATCTTTGTTACACTATTTTCCACCTACTTTTCAAGCTTAATAGAGCTAGTATGGTCAGAGAATCGACTTTTTCAGCTACTTCTTAAATTTAATCAAACTAATGAGACCTATGTGACATAACTTTTTCAGCTACTTTTTAAGGTTAGTTAAATTAATGATATCTGTGTGACACAACTTCTTCAGCTAATTCTGAAGGTTAGTTCAATTCAAAGATTAGTATAACACAACTTCAGTTACTTCTTAAGTTTAATTATGCTAATATCATGTGACAAAATGTTTTAAGTTACTTCTTAAATTTAATCACACTAATGAGATCTGTGTGTGACAACTTTTTAAGTTACTTCTTAAATCTAATCACACTAATGAGATCTGTGTGTGACACAACTTAAGTTACCTCTTAAATTTAATCACACTAATGAGATCTGTGTGTGACACAACTTAAGTTACCTCTTAAATTTAATCACACTAATGAGATCTGCTGTGTGTGACCACAACTTCTTCAACCCTTTCTTAGAGGTAGTTAAAGATCTGGATCTGTGTGACATAATCCTACAATAACTTCCTTGCATTATTAGTCTCTTCAAACTTTTAATGTAATATTTTGTTTAATATACGGAACTGTAATTGCATGCTGGAAGGAGAATTAAATATTTATATTATCCTCATGTAGTTCACACGTGATCTTTTTTATAAGCACATTTCTTAAGTTGCTGTAAAATACTTCTCTGAGCTCAATACCACAGAGGATCAATAACAAAAGAACAGAACTGTTGTGTTTGTTTTATTAAATGCATGTTGGTTTCTTCCACATCAAAAATTTTAACTGCTTGTAACACATATATAATTTCTGCAGATTAAGTTTCTATTACAAATACAGGCTGGTGATTTAGACACTTCAAAGTAGAAATCATATAATAACAGTACAAGTTAGCTGATCCATGCATACATATTTTATAAGTTTTATGTCTTTACACATAAAAACTGTGCAGCTGTTGGATGAGTATTATATTTTGTGTTGAAACTTACCTTATAACAAAAACTGACAAGGGATAAACTGGATTTGGCTGAAGGTACACTGGAACATAAACCTTAGAACGAGGATACACTGGTCCTTGTGGAACAAATATTCGGACAACATCGTCATTCTTTACTTCTTCATAACTTCCATGACTGTTAGATAATGCTACATGAGCAAGAAATATGCTTGAGCCACCAGGTGGTGCTGTAACTGGAAGAGAGTTGGCAGTGCATTCCAGAGAACAGCTTTGAAGAACAGCATATTCTACTTGGACAGTAGCTTTGTATGGCTTCATCACTTTCCAAGGCTGAGACTGAAGTTGTGGCCACCATGCCCAAGGGAGAACCACCTCACCTAGACAGACTCCATCACGATTGGCTGTTGGACTGCAAACTGCCATCAGTCGCTTCTCCTGATAACTCACATATAATGCTACACAGAGTGTCCCCTTGTGGATATTATGGGAGTCTTGTCTTGTTTTGGGATCAGATACCCGACTGCTGTGAAACAATACACGAAGTACAGGTTGATCTCGGTGGACTTCATGGGTTACAATATGTGCAATAATATCTGTGTCACCACTAGAAGGCACTGCCAGCAGTGGGGTTCTCTCAGATTCACCTCCAAGGTCTTCCTGACTAGAGTTCCAATTTTCATTTACTGCTGGGATTATCAGTGCAGGCATCACTGTCTGCTTTACTGAAAAAGGCCCATAATATGCACGCACAGTGACAGTGGAAGAAGGGTGAATTAGGGTAAATCTTTCACTTTTACTTGTCATACCACTTTGCAGACCACTGTCCACTAAATGACCTGGTTTCAGAAAGAATCCTGCATCCCTACTCTCTAGTGTGACATCTACTATAGCCTGGGACTCTGTAAAAAAAATAATTAAGTATGAAGATTGTCCACTGGGAAATTGTTTTGAACTTGTAACACAGACCCTTGACCAGGAACAAAAATATATTTATCAAATCTTCTATTTCTAATTAAGATTTTCCATACAGTACTTCCCTCCACTCGCAAGATTAGCTTTTCCCATTTTGTGCTGCCCTCTATATGCAAACTTTTTTATAACACATGCCACAAGCCTTCCACACACCCCTACTGGAATCAAAGATTCCAATGTGTCTCTCATGTAAATCATCATGCATCACCTCTCCACCAATAGGAGAGCAGTAAAATCACATGAAACATATGACTCTATCTATATGCCTCTACCGAACTATCACCTTTTGTTTGACAGTGCTCGTGTTCAGGCATTTTACTCTCATGTTCTTTGTCGTCATAACTTTAACAGTTTATTGCCACGGTGGTTTAATTTTCACAGTTTTATAGCCACTGTGATTTCTACTCATTTGCATATACAGCTGACAAATTTGTTTTCAATTACTTTCCAGTTTTTATTTTTTTTGCACAATGTATTTATCTATCAACCAACTTATGACGAATTCTGTGCTGTCCCTCCAACCATTTTGCCGTTGCTGTGAGTGGAGGTGACAAATTGATGTATTTCCCTGCGATTGTTCCTTGGGTAATTGGTTGTTATATAGTTCACACACCTTCTTCTACTATTGCCCCACTTTCTCACGAACAATACAAATTTATTCGTTCAAGTGAAGATTTGACGGCCTTTTCATCACCAGATTTTGCTGTGTATTCTCCTGTCCGCCTGCAGAATCAGCTAGGCCTAAAATGGCAATTTTCACTATATTTTTTCAGGTATGTTTCATCCCCTCCCCTGGATATTAGGGTTCATGCTGTACTTTTCCTTCCAATTGAGTTGACAGTGTCAACATGATTCGCCCCCATGAGCTACAGATTGGTTTGCTTTGGCTTACTTTCTTTCAGACTGTTCAATTCTTGTTATTCTGTTGTTGGGATCTGTTTTACCTTTTTGGGGTGGCATTCTCTGATTTTCCAGTGCATTCTTCCATTCCCATTCTCATGCCTTTGTTTTACCCTTGCTTCCCATTCTTTCCTTCTACAGCACAAGGTGTACTCCCCCCCTTGCTGATTCCTTCCTTTTCCCACCTTACTATGAACCTGATCCTAATAGTCGTCTATGTTATCTACATACTCTTCAATATTGCTTTGCCTAAGCAGCTTCAATCCATGGTTTCCCTTCCTACTTCTTTCTTCCATGGTTGCCCATCCTCAGTTCGTAGGCTTGCTCCTTCTGTCCTCACCAATTGGGTTTGACCTTTGTCTTGATTTGCTGATTCTTATGTGTCCTCTCAGACCTTGTTCCAGGTATCTTCTCCCCACATTTGACAACTACTTTCTCTGGCTTCTCATCTTCATCGTCTCTTATTGTTCAGTGTGGCAAGTGGACTATATTTTCTTCTCCCTTTCTTCTATCGCCGTTTATTCCTCATCGGTTTCTTGTCCCTGACCTATGGTAGTTTTTACACACTTCTGTGCGACTTCGACTAGATAAGTATATTAATACTTTTCTTTCCTTTTAGAGGCCCTTGCTTCATTTCTCTTCTTACGAATCCCACTCTATGGCGAGTGGTGCCTGATCAGGTACACATTAACTCTAAATCACACTGCACATGCCATGTTGAATCATATGTTCCTTCCACGGCTCCGCATGCTCACTTTTGAGATGGAGTGTTTCACAAGATTTCTTGTAGGTGAATAACCTCGCAATATTTGCTTCATAAATATGCCTGTCATGAACTGTACTACCCATGGATGGCATGGGTAAAGCAGAATGAGATAGCTGCCCCTCCCTGCCATGCATCAGTTGAATAAATTTATTGGTCTGCTTATCAAAATAGGGTTTTGTGATCACTAATTGCACTGTCTTGTGTGTCAACGTTCCTCCAGGCTCTCCATCGCACTATCTACCCCCTTTTCTTAATGTGGAGTATGAGAGCCCTTACCACTTACCAGTTCCAAGCTGCTGGAGTGGTTAACCATGGAGGCACTCTGCTATAGCCAAAGGTGGCTATAACCATTCAATTCTCAGAGTAAGACAGTGGTGTTCTGCCAGTGTAGATGGTGTATGATACTCTGGATTGAGTTTAATATACCACAAAGTGAGATGTCAAAATGCAGTTCACCCCTTCGATTGGGAGCCCTCATCCTACCCTCACGTGGATGTTAGTACCCCACGAGCTGGTTTTGGATTTAGGGTGAACCAATCAACACAAGTCCTCACACAGGTTTCAGGTTGTCTATCTTCCTCCCTCTATTATCCCTGAGGGTCACAGTAAGGATATGTGGGATGTCTCTGTCAATGTTCTAGACCAGTTTCATATTCATGGGAGTTCACTGCATATGATGGACTTCCCTAGGATGCTGGATATCCCATTCCCAGCTCCCTAGCTCAGTGCTAATCCTGTGTCATGCCCTGGAATTGATGTGTTATTATCCTCCACGATTCTGGGGTTTGAGGTGAAGATGATATGATCCTCATTCTAACTTAGCATGGATGTTGGTACCCACCGAGGTTTTAGTTTGACTTGATTTACCAAGTATGGTCCAGCATGCCCTAGCCATTCGACACCATGGGACTCATCCTTTTTTTACCCACCTTCTTCCTGTGGGATGGAAATCATTTCTCTTCCCAGTAGGATCACTCCCTGCCATATTCTCTCTCATTTGGATGTGTTCCCTTCTTTTTCTGCCATGTTCTTCCAATTCCATACATGGCAACAAGTAAACCTGGATCAGAAGTGGTGCAGTTCCCCTCTTCAGATTTCTGGATCTGATGTTCTCATCTCCAGGGGTATCCTTCTTTGAATTTCCTTTTTTTGGATGGGGGGGGGGGTATGTCTGTTCTTCTCTCACACCAGTTCCTCCACTTTATCAATGTGGGATTCTAGCTAATCTTGTGAGAAGAGGGAAGTACCGTATCAGAAGTTATAACTTTCCTATACTGAAAATGTATTTCCAATAAGTACTTCCCTCCGCTCACACTTCCTCCCCACATTCTTCTGATGCTTCTGCCTTCTGCCAAACTTGTGATAGTTTCGTAAAGGTGTATAGAGAGAGTCACATGCATCACGTGATTGTACTGCTCTCCTATTGGTGGAGAGGTGACGCATGATGATTTGCATGAGACACACATTGGAATCTTTGATTCCAATAAGAGGTACGGAAGGCTTGTGGCATGTGTTATAAAAAATTTGCATATAGAGGGCAGCACAAAATGGAAAAAGCTAATCTTTTGAGCGGAGGGAAGTACCTATTGGAAATACATTTTCAGTATAGGAAAATTATAATTTTGCAAACGTAGAAAAATTATGAGGAGTTGATAGTAAATTTAAATGTTCGATTCATCATGAAACAAAAGTAATCGTTTTCTCTCCAAGAGGTAGTCTTCAATGTACTTTTGAGACTTTATCCTTGATGTATGAAAGGTCACATCAAAATATTCACAAAAAATTATGATTAACCATTTTAGATATTTAAGTTACATAAAATTTGGCTTTATAAAGACTGTATTCGATGAACATTTTTATAAAGTTATCACCTGATTTTGGTTTTAGACATTACTGTGTTATAAAGGATGGTGAAGTCTAAGTTAATTTTAGGCATATGAAGATTAACAACCATTATTGATCAAAAGCTTTCTTTAAGAAGGCTGTCTCATACATATATTTTAAATAGCAGTGGTAGTTTCATGTTTTATTTTGCTATGTTTATTTGCTAATCTGATGAAATATCTGATACCAAATCAGCCCTGACCACTGACTTTAACATTATCAATAAATAATTTATCACCATTAGATCATAGGTTACAGTCACAGTTAATCTCTATGTAAATAGTTCAAAGGATTACAAGGTCAAGAGATGAATGATAATGGTCACAGTAAGGTTAAGGGTCACATAAAATATTCCCAACTAAATAGAGAGAAATTATAAAATGTATGAGATTGCATGGTCAAAGGTCAGATAGCATATAAATATAGAAGTTTGAGTCCCATGTTTCACAGAGCATGCTTTGTCTTTTTTGCCACCTTTCTGCCTCTCAACCAAACTGTACTAAATGCTTCTATTCAGATTACACATTAAATGTTCTCTCTACGCAAGATGTAATTACCATATTGTATACTGGTTTCTGCTGTATATCAAGTTGGAGCAACATTATTTAGTTATGGTTTATCTTTGATTCTTAACAGCTTGCTTTCTACTTCTCTCAAATCTGTGAATTTCAACAGCTGTCTTTATTGATTTTCACAAACAAATTATTTCCATGCTTTCCTTTTGCACACTTTAAAACTTCATCTTATAAAAATAACAGACAAAAAAAATAAGGAGAACTAGTAAACACACACGAATCTAACATATTGATTACACAATCTATTTCTGGAGCTTCTTAATGTTAAGATATTTTGAACATGATGAAATTAAAAATCAAACAAAAGTTAATCTATAAGGATCATTATTAACAATTCAACAGATCAGGATGTGTAAACAAGATATACTGTTGTAACAATAAAGGCTTCTATTGTTTTCTCTGTACATTAAGCTTGATCCATTTATCCATCTAAACACAGTTGATCTTTATTGATGGATTTAAATTAATTAAAAACAATTGTCATCCAGAAATACATACTCAAATTTATGATCAAATTAATCTAATATTGCACAACATACTTACTAGAAGTACTTAATGTCATAACTCAATACAACAGAAAATTAAAATGTTTTGTTGTTTAAGTTAAAGCATAAAGCTGCACAATGGCTATCAGCACTGTGCCCAACACAGGAATCAAACCACAAATTTTTAGAATTTTAATCCATTAAGCTAACTGCTGAGCCACTGGGTAAAGCTCTAAAACCAGCAGTGATCAGAATGTTTTGAATGATCATTAGATACCTTCAGAGTTAATGATATTTATACTGTTATGTATCTGCTT